GATGGAATTGTGGTAGATAAGCTAGACTGTGGAAAATGGCGAATTTCGATGACCGACATCGTGAACAATTTACGACGTTGACAACTTATACGAAAGGTAGTAAACCACAATTCCCAGTGATAAAACTAATCAAGTTAATATATTGATCCACATATTGACGGGATAGCAGTACCTACCAAAAGCAGAATAAAAAAAGTAGTCAAAGGCAAAAGGTATATGTCATCTATAAACAAAGACATGAGAAAAAAACAGGTTAATAGAGCGTTGAAACCTAAGCGCATATTTACACATTCAATCAGAGTAGTCATTAGTCGTAATGCACTCCAAGATGGACCGAAAAAGCTGAGCACTAAAACTAAGTGATAAATGCAGCAGAAAAAGTCTACTGTCCCGTTAAAGCAGATGAATAAGGAAAGTTATCTGCTGAAGAGAAATATGAAATAAGAGGCATGATGATGAAAAATGTCTTTTAGATCAACCTGGAGGACGTATAACCTCATGCAAAATATTTGTGCCAGGCGCTAAAAGAAGTGTAGACTTTTGGCAAGAGACTGGCTGATCCTGAGTAGCTTTAAGCAAAAAAGTGTCATCTAACCTGGCATTATGGGGCAACATGAGACCGGTTAAAGAGAGGGGTCTGGATAGAGGAAAGGGATGAGGGATAATATTGAGAGGAAGGAGGAAATCGGATAGCCCCATGCCAAGGCAATCCGATACATTCAGCTGTAGCTCTCCAGTATATCGTGGGTCATGAAAGCCCAGCATCCCGACGGCCAAGCTCTTAGCTACAAATGAAGAATCATACAAGCTGAAGCGATGTTTCGGCTGGCCAACGGACTGTTGACAAGGCTGCCCGCCACTTGGTTGGTCTGAGGCTGCCTGACCTTCGGGCGCGGAGGTCTCCAATTGGTCCAAGGGAAGACAAGTGGAGACGGGACTGGGAAGCCTCCGACCAAGCCAGCCGAGACCGTCGTAGGCTGTCTTGCTCAGTGCTTCACGGATGCCTTTGCTAAATGGAGTTAACTGGAAAACACGAAGTACACTCGGACTATGTTGGTTACAATATAATTTTATTCATTCGAAGATATAGTATTCCATTCAGAAAAGTACTATAACGCAACCGTAGCATTTTGAAGTCATATAAAAATCAAGTTATCCCAGTTATCTCACTAGCCTAGCATGTAAACTAGCAGTTTTTCTCAGGATATGCAAATCCAAATAAGAATATACACGTAATGAATGTAGAAAAATGAAGCATATACAACCTCAAGGCCATGAAATGAGGAATGAAGACTGCCTATTGATAGGCAGGCCGTTCACAAGTTGGACTCCTCACTAAAGCATATTCTTAAAGTAGTCACTGGATTTTTGTCAGGAGATCCCGTCTGTGCTTGCTCACATCTACAGATTATTCATAGACTGAACGAAAGAATGCGAGGAAAATCACACGCTTTATATACTTGTTACAAATCCAGGCAAACAAATCAAATCATTCATCTTTATTCCTTAAATTTATACAATACAAGAATTATCCTCATGTAGATAATAGTGAATACAAATTCTGGCATAAGGATGGAAATGTAAAACTTTTTCAAATCTGACTTAACCAGCTCTTGAGAAAATTTTGAAAATGTTTAAATATGAATTTTGAGCCCTTAATATTCTTCATCAGCGTTCAAGAGATTTCCTGTTTGGATCAATTCATACCATATAATTGGAATACCATAGAAGAGCATCGCCATACAAGCAAACAAATTAGATATCATCCATATCATTATTATAAGATAAGCAAAATACCGGGCAATTGAATCAATCAAGAAATGAAGGTCCAACTAAAAATCAATTATAAATTTTTATTATGTGCTCTAATGAGGTTGGTATGGAATGCAAAACGAAGTAACAGAAATTCTAAAGAATATGCATTTCCATCTTGGACCTTATGTATGGCAATAAAGTCATAAGGACTTGAAAAGATTAAGGTTTATGAAAAATAAATAAAATATGTAGAGGTGATTCTCTCTCCACACTTTGCCAGTAGACTAATCTATTGACTAAGGTTAAACGATATATATTCTGTATAAAGATTGATTAGTTTGGTATGAAATAACGAATTAAGGCACTTGGCTGATTTACGTATTTATGCCTGTATATTTAAAATAGTATCAACTAATGAATTAAACTAGATAACAGGGACTTCGATAGCTCAGTTCAGAAAAATGTTATTCTACAATAATTGTAATATTTAGACAGCAAAATCCTTGAGTTCCTATAGAGAAAGCCAGCCAGTTTAAGTAGAATGAGACGCAAAAAACGGAGATTTTTTAAAAGCGAATCGATGCTAACATGAGGCATATAGTAATTAACAGTTTTCCATTATACTTAATAAAAGTGGTGAGATTATTAAACAAATACAGCCATATTGAAGATAAGAGATTCAAACAAAGCCTTGGGCTAATTTTTATCGTTCTGAAATACGTTCGAAGATTTCTAAGTTAGTTTTTCTTTATTCAGATTATAATGACTATGGGAGCGGTATGACTTCGTGTTGTTAAGGGGACCTGGTTGGAGGCATAGTCCTCTACTGTAGTAGTTATGACAATTCCAAGCGTTGGACCATGGACTTGGAAAACTCTCAGACGTTTTCAAGAAGGACCCTACAACGAAGATCAATGGAACATTAAGTGACATGCTGAAAGATGTGCATAGGAATGGCGTGATTGACGGATGAACGATGAATTAATTAGTAAGAAAGGATGCACGACCACCAACAGCCTAAGGATTACGGAAGTTGCACAACGAATGCGAAACACTAAAGCTGATAGTCAACAGCAAGTATGGAGCAACATACGAATGAGCAAAGTTCATATGTCTGAAAGTCAAGAAGGTAAACGATGGATTTTCAAACACAATGAAGAATTCATATGAATTTTATCAAAGGATCAAAAGTATGATACTAGACGAATCGTAATTATTGGTAGGTTTTGACGTATAATCTATATACACATACATTTCTGGAGAAGAGGCGCTATCGGTCCTGGTAGAAATTTTGGATCAAGAAGAGGGTATCAGAAGGGAGTCGTTAACACGAGTAATCAATTTGACACTAAGAACTATCTAATTCGAATTCAACGGCAATATGCATGAATAGACATTTTACTTGCTATCTATGAGCAAATTAGAAGAGGACTTCAAGATATCCCCACAGCAACCAGGAGTGCTCATGCGTTACCTAGACGACTACGTCGCATTTTGGTCGCATGGAATAGAAAAACTGAAAGATTTCTTGAAGCTTAGAAACCGGACTTGTGAAAGAATCAAATTCACTATGGAAGTAGAAGAAAAGAAGAGGTTACCTTTCTTGGATGCTCAAGTCATTCGCTCTAATGGGACGCTTAGAAAGAAATTTTTCATAAAGAAGTCATATGCAGGAATGATATTCAATTACGGGTATCATCACAACTATAGATTGAGAAGCATGATTAAAAAAAGCAAATGGAATATTCAGGAGAAAAAGAACATTCTTCAAAACTATACCGACGCAACACGAGAGGGTGGGTAAATTGGATTGCTCAGGAGTTTACTGCGTAACATTAAGAGCCTGCGGGCAGAAATATATTGGCGAAACAGGGATAAATAGCAGCCTACGAATCCAGGAATATCAAAGGTTTTGTAGGAAAATTAATACCGAAAGGTCAGAAATAGCGGAGCACATTGCACAGACTGGACACAGCATCAGTTGGAAGGCAACAGAAATAAGGACTCCATATGGTGAAAAGACAAGGAAGCTGAAGACTAGACATCTTTCAGGAAAGAAATGTAATGAACAGGAGATTGGAAGAAGGCAGAGTTAACGATAACTTGCCTATTGCTTAAGCATATGAGAAGACAAGAAAAAGGGCGATGTCTCCAGAGGGAAAGGGATCGAAAGCAAGAAGCAGATAAA